GGGGGGGGGGGGGCGGTTGGCAGCGTCCCGCTGCGGGACGGCGGCGGGCGGGGGCGGCGCGCGGTGACAGCGGTGGTGCCGCTCCGCTCCGTGTGCCCCGCGACGGCGCCGCGTGCCGCTGCCCGACCCCGCGCGGAGGATCCGGCGCCGACACACCGAACACCGGCGGCACCTGCCGCTGCCGGGGGGTCCCGGGGCCAAACGGGGCGGGGCGCGGCTCTCGCGGTGCGGTGCGGTGCGGCGGTGGCGGTGGGACGGCGGTCGCTCCGCGCGGAGTTTGGCGGCGTGGCCGCGGAGGAAAGTCCCGGTGGCGGCGCGGCCCCGCTCGGTGGCGGAAGGGCCCTCCTCGGGGACGGCGCCCCACGTCCGGGGCTGCCCCTGCCCCGGGGAGCGGCCTCGGGGAACAACTGTTGAGCGGCGGCGGGGCCTGCGCCGAGGGGTGCCCGGGCGGACCCCCCCCAACGGCGGGGCGGTGCGGGGTGGGGCGGGTGGGGGCCGAGCTTCGGCGCTGCCCCCGCTGCGGCCCCGCGGCTCCGGGCGGGAGGGGCCGTGCCCGAGGTGCGCGGCGGCGGCGGCGGCGGCGGCGGCGGGACCGGAGCGGCGCTTCCTGCCGGGCGGGCAGAGCGGAGCTCCGGCGCCGTGTCCGCAGCCTGCATCCCGACCGCCGCTCGCAGGGCTCTCCCCGCCTCCTCGCCCGAGCGCAGCCCTCGGGGAAGGGCACCGTTTATGCTCTCTCCGAGCATCCGCTCCCGAGGAGCGCCGTTCTCCGTCGGTGCTGCGGGGGCACCGCCGTCCCCGCGTCCCGCACCGCTGTCAGCCGTCGGCTCTCCGCGAGGCCGCGGCTCCGTGCTGCAGGGCCGGGCTGCTCGCCGTGCCGTGCACGACGCGGGCCTTTTAACGTCTCTTTGCAGATATTCCCGAGCCCCTCCGTGCCGTTTTCTCTCCCCGTCCCTTTAAAAACCCGCTCCTGCCGCGGGGACAGCGCGATGCTCGCTGTTGTCCAGCAGCTGTATTTTGCAGTAGCCGACGTGCAGCAAACTTTATTTTATTCCACACGAGGATGGATTTTCTTTATTTTCCTCTCTCTCTCTTTCTTTCTTTCTTTTTTTTTTTTTTCCCTTTTCCCTCCCAATTCATCACGCCGAGTATCTATAATTACTCGCGGTGCTGCTGTGTCTTTAAAGCAGCTTAAGCAAATGCGTTGAGCAAAGCCTGGCTCAGCACCGCAGCGCTCCGGGGCTCCACGCAGCCCGGGGGATCCCAAACCCGGCGGGGTCGGGGCTGCACTCGGTACTTTGTACCCATTGAGCCGATCCCTGCTGGCCAATGGTGCCACACTGCTGCTGCTGCTCAGTCCTGCTACAATTCGTTGCTTTTCTCACCTATTTTTTCCCGTTGGTGCCCCATGTAGATCCTGGGAGAGGACCATCACGATTGGTTTTTCTTTTTAAATTCTTTTTGCGTGCAGTTCTCTTGAAAGGGTTTTTTTCTGAGCTGCTGCTTAGGGCTGAATCATCTCTGGGGCGCCAGGGGCAGCTTTGGCTCCAGACCTCTGCACCTCAAATGGACGCCCGACAACCGCATCTAAAAGCAAATATAATTTCTCGCCCCTGTTACTAATGGCAACGAAGATTGCCAAAGTGAACAAACTCTCAGGAGTGAGCGAGGCCGTCCCCGTGGATGCACATCGCTTCCTCCCGGCCCGTCCCTGCCCTGCCGAGGGGCAGCTCCACTGCTTTGGCTCTCATCGATGGCAGCAGTTCGTGGTGAATGCAGTGCAGGCAGGGAGTCCCTCCCGGGTTCCCCGCATCCAGGACTGCTTTACGTTTTTGAGTCATCGGGGTGGGAAAAAGTGGCATTCTGCGTTTTGCTCCTCTCCTGGATCGTGTTCCAAAGGTGTCTCCCTGGGTGTGTTTCCAGGGTCAAAGTGCATCCCGCCGGCTGCCCACAGTGCCCCCTGGCCAGCCGTGCTGCGCAGCGCTCCCGGTACCAGCAGCCGCGTCCTCCTGCTTTCGTGCTGCAGAGGGATGTGCCGGACTCGTGCAGCGTGCTCAGAAGGGAAAAGCTCCTTCCCTTTTCCCTTTTCCCTCTTCCCTTCCCTCCCTCCGTGCCGCTGTCCCAGTTATGCGGCGTTTCACCGTGCTCGGCCCCCATCTGGCTGCATCCCTTTGTCTGCGTCGCACCAACTTCGCACCGCCGCAACCCAAAGCTCAGCACGGGGCTCTGTGGGGCTTTGTGGGGCTGCTGCTGCTCACCCGGGGGAGCTCTCTGCAATTCACAGCCCCGCTGCTGTCAGCGCCGCGCATCGCGGCTCGCCAGGGCTTTGCTCAATGGTGCTGTGCAGCTCTCAGCCCTGCCCAGAGATTGGGTTTGGGGCAGCCCTGCGGGGGGAGTTTTGGGGACCGCTGAGGTGTGTTGGTGTCCGTCGGCTCCTCCCTGGCTGAGGCAGGGTGGTGGTGATCGGTGGGCGCGTAGCTTGTGCTGCAGTGGTAGGGTTAGGGAGAGGGAAGGTGAGCGGCTCAAAATCTGAGCCATTTTAGGATGGAGCTTGTTGAGGGGTGAAGCTGCCACTGGCCTAAAGCTGAATGCATTCACAGTGTTAAGGAGAGGCTGGCACGAGGAGTGGGGAAACGCAGCCGCTCCGTTCCCTCCTGCATGGGTGCACCGGGCACTGCAGCGCAGAGTGCTCAGAGCCAGCGGTGCCACATGTGCTCTGTGGCTGTCACACACCTCTGCTGTGCTAACGCCAGGGTGGGAAGTGCCATGCGGGGGGCACAAGCTGTGTTAGGAAACCTCAGCCCAAGCAGCTCGAATCAAGATCGCAGAGGATGAGGAGCAGGGCTGCTGGCAGTGCAGGAGGCTCGGCTCAGCTGCAGGGAGCCGATGGGTGAAGCTGGGAGCAGCCCATCCACCATCCACCAGCTCGGCCTGTGCTGCAGCTGCAGTTGTCCTGGCACTGAAGGGGGATTTCTGTATAGGTGATTATTAGAAAGGATCTGTTCCCAGAGAACTTCATCTCAAGGAAGTTGTTTCCAGGCTGTGTTGCAGAGGAGAGAGTTGTGTCTTGGCTGAATCCAAAGGGACTGCCAGGCACAGTGAGCTAGGTGCTGACTTGAGCAGAGCATGCTTCTCCTGCAGCAGAGACATCTTCTGCTGTGCTGATCTGGAGACTGGTTTGCACTGTGGTGTCCTGTCCAGCTGCAGGGCAGTGAGGGGGTTTGGCATAGGGAATAAAGAGCCCCTTTGCTCTTGGTGAGTGTAATCCATCCGTGTTAGTTTCATTGAGCATCTCTTGCAGGGTTTGCTGTTGGAAGCAGTGTTCAGCCCCTTTCTCACCAGCAATTCCAGAGCATGTTTTGTTTGGAGATGTGAAGGAGCTTTGGTATCATGCAACAAGCTTCTCTCCGAGCAGAATGGGATGTTGATGGTCTTCTTTCATTCTAAACTCGTTTTCTTTGGAGTTAATTAGAATTGGCTGGGCACCTATTTAGCTACATCAAAATAAAGCTGTGGTTTCATATACGCTTCTGTTGGCAGAGGTGCTGGATTAAACGGATTCTGTGCCAGGCTGCGCCCTCTCTCCCTCCTGGTGAACCCGATCTGGGAGCTGCTGTGGGCTAAAACCCTTGCAGGCAGGGAAGAAACCCACAGCACTGGTTTGAAACACAGATGTGCTCCCAGGTTGGGCTCACCCTGCATTGCCAATGGAAGGAGTGAGGGGACAGAAGGGCTTCAGTAGTTCCTTCTGCTCCGAGGGTACACGAAAGCATGCCTTAGTTGCGTTCTCCAGGGGTTCTGCCAGTTTAATTACAGCCGTTTAAAGTCGTTTTGAGCTGAGCTGGTGCAGATGAGAGGTTGTGTTGACTCCACTCAAGGTCTCCTTAGGTGCCTGGCCCTGCTCTGCCCATTGCACACTGCAGCTGCTCCTACCCGTGTTTCTCAGACATCTTCCCTTGTCTGTGCTCTGAAGGATGCTCCTCTTTCGCTGGTCGCTCCCGTTTGCGTTGGAGAGCACGTCTGTCATTCTCTCCATGTTGAATTCCTTTTCCTCGAGTTGAAAACATGATGTATTTTTTTTCTCTCTTCTGTTCCTTCTGGCTCCCTGTGGAATGCCTTTGGCACGTGTCCCGTGTCGTCCGTAGAGGGTAGAGGCCAAGAATTCACGAAGCAGGGGCTGTGCTTGTTCTCCTGCCTCTCCTCTGGTGGCCGTCCTGCTCTGTCCGCCAGCTCTTACTTGAGCACTCCAAACGTGCCATCCCTCCCCGCTCCCCACACCGCCTTGTCCCTGCTTTTCCCTCACCAGACCTATTCTCAGACCACGCTCTGTGCTTGTTTTGATGCTCCAGCTCTTCTCTGAACTCCTGTCCCGCGTTGCACAGCCCCCTTCCCACTCACACAGTGGCTCCCTTTCCATCTCTCCCAAACCATCAGCCCCACCGCCGTGCTCGGGGGCAGAACCGTCCTCCTGCCCTTCTTTCAGTTTAGCCTAAGATGGTGAAATCCCCACAGATTGTTTGTTCCCCTATTTCCTTTATGTTGCATTTCACTCCAAGCATCGCAAGACTCCTCCCCTTCCTGCTCCAAGCCACCTCTCATTCTCTTTGGGTATGACCCTGCTCTCTGCCTTAGAACCTGCCCTGCTCCCCTTCCACCACACAGCCCTTCTCCCTCTGCGCCTTGTGCCCTTGGCTGGACGTTCCCCTCTTATCCTGACTCCCAGTTTCCACGGCTTTGCTCAGATCTGTGTTCATATGTGTGGATTTGTCTGTCACTTTCTTTTTTTTTTTTTTTTGCAAGCAAAATGCCCTGTCCCTGTTTCTCCTATGGCCCTGCTGTTCTGTTTCTGGATGTTGGCACACAGGCTGAGGAGGGGATATCTGGCAGCAGCTGTGCTCAGAGGGCACGTTCAGCCCGGCCTGTACATCCCTGCACTCATCTCAGCATCGTGCATCCTGCTTCTGGTCTCATCCAGAGCTCGTGTCCCCGGGAGTTTGGTAGGGCAAAGACAGCCGAGCGAGGCTGGGGGTGACGTGCTGCTTTTAGCCTCTCCCTGCTCTCACCGCTGCACCGAGGACGCCCGGTGCCCCTGCCAGCTTTTCCTTCGTGTGTCCAGAATGCCTTTGTATCGAGAACCTCTTGGACAGCATCTCTGCCCTTCGCGGTCCGTCCTTCCTCCTCGCTTCCACCTCGCCCTCCGCTTAGCGCAGGGGATCCTCTCCTCCCTCCTTCCTCGCGTTTTCCCTGACACGACTCCAGCAGCAAAGCTGCCTTAATGCTCGAGCACCCAGCGCCGCACGATTGGCTGTAACATCCTCCCCCGAAAGCTCCACCCCGCCGACGGTGCGTCTCGGATGCTCGCAAGTCTCTGGATTTCCTCCTGTTTTCTACCCGTAACACCGCCGAACACCATCATCCCCTCCGCAGCGCACTGAGGGGACGCCCGCTGGATGACACGTCGGTGGCACACTTGGCAATCCTCCGCCCCCTCCTCTCGCATCCCCCCCCCCCCGGCTTCTTCCCCGTTTGAGGTTTTCCCCGCTGAGCCCGGCACGTCCTGCTTTATCAACGTAATGCGAAGCCTCGGGGAGGGGTCAGCGTTCTAACAGCCGTCCGCTTGGCTGCAGCTCTGTCCGGGCTCGTTGCCCTGCGCTGGAGACCTCTGGGGTGGGGAGAAAAGCAGGGGGGTCTTGTAAAAGTGATGTATGTGTGTGTGATGATCATAGGATCACAGAACGGCCGGGCTGGAAGGGACCTCAATGCCCACCCGGTCCCAACCCCTGTACTGTGGGCTGGGTGCCTCCTCCAGCCCAGGACCCACCCATGGCCTCGGGCACCTCGGGAACGGGGCACCCCCAGCTCTGGGCAGCACGGCTTCACCAATGGCTGTGTGAAGCTCTCGAGGTAGCCTGAGGCTTTGGCAATCAAGTTGGTTAGTGTGAGGACGGGCAGATCCTATCCCGAGGCGCTGTTTATTCCCTCCAGTCCTCCTCCAGACAGATGTGGAGCATCTCAGGCGTCGTGCTCGCTCTTCCTGGCGATGGAGCTGAGGATAAATGTGGATGCCACCGTCCTACAAGAGTCACCAATTCTCTGCTTTATGCTTTTTATTTTTTTTCTCCCTGCAGGCAGAGTGGCCCCTCGAGCCCCAGCAGGACCCGGGTTGGTGACGAGCAGCTGTCATGATCTCTACGGCACCTCTCTATAGCGGGGTGCACAACTGGACCAGCACAGAGCGGATTCGCATGTGTGGCCTCAACGAGGAGAGGTGAGGTGCGTGGGAGGCTCGGTGGGCCCAGGAGGGGCAGGAAGGGATGGGGAGAGGCTGCAGGAATGGAAATGGTGCTGGAGTGGCTGATTTTAGCAGTGACTCAGGCTGGGGGATGAGGACCGTTGCTCTGCAGAGTGCTCACCAACTGTGTGCGCCTACATGGGTGCACTGTGCACACGGTGTTGGCATCGTCACTTGTGCTGTTAAGTGTCAGGAGAGGAGAGGAGCTTGACCCACCGTGAGCCAAGCTGCTAAGAAGAGCTTTCAGTGACCCAGGAGGGTGAGCGCAGAGCGCACGATTAGATGGGAGAGTTGTGACATGCCACCAACCAAATAGGAGATTAGGGAGGATTAGTGGCCGGGAGGCAGAATTGATCGAGGCCGGTTCCTGGCCTGTCCCACGGCTCACCATCGCCTCTCATTTCCGCCGCCTTGGGGTCTCGTTCTCACAACCAACGGGTCGGGTCGGCAGCTTCCTCAGAGCTGTGCACTGCTGGAGGCAGGCGGGTTTTGGTGCTTGCAGGCAGTGCGCGCAGCGCTCCCCGCTGCCGGAGCGGAGACTTTTGGCAGCAAAGCCTCCAGCAGGCGGGCAGGGCGGCGGGACAGGGGAGACTTGAGGCTCTCTCGCGGGGCAGAAAAGCAGACGGCGATCATCTCCGTGCCTCAGCCCCGCCGTGCAGCCCTCAGATAAGAGCTGGCGGATGGCGCTGCCTTCCCTAAACCGCTCCGAGCTGCCCCCGCGCCTAACGAACGCCCCGCAGCGTCGCGGCGGGCGGCGCTTTGTCCCAGCCCTCGGCCTCGGGGAGGGCGGAACGGCCGGGGCGCCGCCGCCTCCGAGCCGGCCCCAAGCTGCCCGGCCGTTCCCTGGCACGCGGCGGGGACGGAGGCAGCGCGGCGGCGGCGCCTTCGGGGCCGCGGGACAGCCGGCGCGGCCCGGCGGCGAGGCTCGTGGCCGCGGCCCGCCCCGGCTCGAGGCCTGGGCGTGCGGGGCCCCGGGCCGCGTCGGTCCCCGCCGCGTGCCAGGGAACGGCCGGGCAGCTTGGGGCCGGCTC